AGGGTTTTCTGGTTGTTTATTTATTTGTTTTGATTTTTTAAGTGTAATTTTTTTTATTTTTATTTTGCAATACAATTCAGTTCTACATATCAGCCACGGATTCCCTTGTTTTCCCCCTTCCGGCCCCCCTCACATTCCCCCCAGCCCACCCCCCATTCCCACCTCCTCCAGGGCAAAGCCTCCCCCGAGGACTGAGATCAACCTGGTAGACTCAGTCCAGGTAGGTCCAGTCCCCTCCTCCCAGGCCGAGCCAAGCGACCCTGCATAGGCCCCAGGTTTCAAACAGCCAACTCATGCAATGAGCACAGGACCCGGTCCCACTGCCTGGATGCCTCCCAAACAGATCAAGCCAATCAACTGTCTCACCCATTCAGAGGGCCTGATCCAGTTGGGGACCCCTCAGCCATTGGTTCATAGTTCATGTGTTTCCATTCGTTTGACTATTTGTCCCTGTGCTTTATCCAACCTTGGTCTCAACAATTCTCGCTCATATAAACCCTCCTCATTCTCGCTAATTGGACTCCCAGAGCTCCACCCGGGGCCTAGTCATGGATCTCTGCAACCAGATCCCTCAGTCATTGGATGGGGTTTCTAGCACGACCATTAGGGTGTTTGGCCATCCCATCACCAGAGTAGGTCAGTTCGGGCTGTCTCTCAACCATTGCCAGCAGTCTGTTGTGTGGGTATCTTTGTGGATTTCTGTGGGCCTCTCTAGCACTTTGCTTCTTCCTATTCTCATGTGGTCTTCACCTTACGCCTGTCAGAATGGCTAAAATCAAAAACACTGAAGACAGCTTATGCTGGAGAGGATGTGGAGCTAGGGGAACTCTCCTCCACTGCTGGTGGGAATGCAAGCTTGTACAACCACTTTGGAAATCAATATGGCGATTTCTTAGAAAATTGGGAATCCATCTCCCCCAAGATCCAGCTATACCACTCTTGGGCATATACCCAAAGAATGCTCAACCATACCACAAGAGCACTTGTTCAGTTATGTTCATAGAAGCATTGTTTGTAATAGCCAGAACATGGAAACAACCTAGATGCCCTTCAACTGAAGAATGGATAAACAAAATGTGGTACATATACACAATGGAATACTACTCAGCAGAGAAAAACAATGACATCATGAGGTTTGCAGACAAATGGATAGATCTAGAAAAAAATCATCCTGAGTGAGGTAACCCAGACTCAGAAAGACAAACATGGTATGTACTCACTCACAGGAGGATACTAGATGTGGAACAAGGATGACTGGACTGCTACTCACATCACCAGGGAGGCTACCTGGAAAACAGGACCCCAAGAAAGACACGGGGATCGCCCAATGATGGAGAAATGGAAGAGATCTACATGAACAGCCTGGACATGAGTGGGGGTAATGAAGGGCGAGGGTCGAGGGAAGAGAGCTTGGGGGAGCGGGAGATCCCAGTTGAATCAACAACAGAGAGGGAGAACAAGGAATAGGAGACCGTTGTATTGATTTTTTTAACAACTGTTTTATTAGGATATATTACATCATTTCCCCCCACTAACATTCCTTCCCCAACACCATCAGTGTATTCTTCCTCCATCAGTTTCTTTTCCTGTTCACTCCTACTATTCTCAAATTCATGGCCACTTTTTCATTATTATTGTTACACATGTATGCATAAAATTAGGGGACTCATTCTTGGAATACACTATTCTTATTCTCTCAGCATGCTTTAACTACACATGAAACTTTTTCAAGAGGTGGTGCCAGTGTGGGTAGTGTAGGTCTTAATTCCTGGACAAAAGGAATCGTATTTTAAAAATCCTTTCCTAAACCTTTATCACATAGGAAACTGTCTATGGTTTTTTCTACCTGTTTTGGTGTTTCAGTTTTCATGTTTAGGTTTGATCAATGGTTGTGTAAAAGTGATAGATACAGATGTAATTTCATTCTTCTCCAAGTAGAGGTCCAGGGTTCTCAGGACAATTTGTTTAAAATTCTGTCTTTTCTCAGTATGTTTTTGGCATCATTGTCAAATATTAGATGGCTATAGTGGTGAGTACTTATGTTTGGTCTTCTGTTTTGTTCCATTGTTCTACTGTGATTTCTGTGCCAGTACCATGTTATTACTATGAATCTATAATATATCTTGAGATCTATAAAAATAATTCCCTCCAGCATTATTCTTTTGTTGTTGTTTGTTTGTTTGTTGCTCAAAATTGCTTGGGCTATTCAGGGTCTTTTGTGGTTCCAAATGATTTTTAGGATAGTGATCAATAAAATGTGAGTTTTGGTTGGGATCGAATTGAATCTTATTTAGCTTTTGGTAGAATGGCCATTTACACAATATTAATTCTACTGACCCATGAGTATAGGTTGCCTTTCCATTTTCTAGTGTCATTTCTAATCTTTTTCTTCAGAGATTTACAGTTCACATTGATGATTTATTTACGGTTGATAGTATGTATCAACCCTTCATAAGTTATACATTTAAGTGTCACTTTTTCTTATGTATTGTACTATTGTACAGTACTTAAAATATAAGGCCAAAACAAATACATGTGAAATGTACAGTCATGTCCTTTTTAAAAAGAACGAAGTGGGACGGGTAGGAGGCAAATAGATCATAGGATAAGAGGGCTTGCTATGCAAGTCTGGCATCCTGAGTTCAATTCCAGAACACTTGTAAAGGTGGAAATAGAAAACCCAATCCAAAAAGTTACTCACTAACTTCCAAAAACATATGCCTAACATGTACACATACATTATTAACATTGACAAAATAATTTTAAAAATTAAATTTTAAAAGCCTAATGAGGTTTTGATTATTTGTCACCAAATTATACCTGTCACCGTCACATACAGTCACAAATCAGACTGAAACACATCAACCAAGGGGTCAATCGACTGACCAACTGCCAATTTGATACACCCTTGTCATGAACTAGGGAACTGTATTCACAGCATGGATTTTGTTCCTGTCACATCATACAGCACTTGACCTCTTGTAACTATAAACCAATTCTATTAACTTTGATGAAATAGATAAAATAACAGAACATATTAGCAGAAAACTTCTTATTGGTCAAGTGAATAATTTTGAGATATGGACTAATTATGTCAATTATGGGATAATTAATAAGAATACTTCTATGCTTTCATAGATATGTAGAACTTGGTATCATTGCAAGCAGAGAAATCCCTGAGAGATGTCCAAGATAATTATTACCAGGATTCTCATTTTATTCCACAGAACAGGTGAATTTACCCACGGGACAATTTCAGGAGTGAATATAGGTCAGGACGAGGGGAAGTACTTTCAATAAACTCTCTGTATGAAATGGATATCTTCACATATACATGTCAGATGGAAGAAAATATTACCCAATAAAAAATCGTGAGTTTGATAAGACAACTCATCTCTCCAACATTTTCTCTAAGATAATTTTTAAAATATTTCTAGGTATTTCTTCTGCCAATTCCCATATGCGTGGGCTTGAGCAATGTTTGTCTTCTGTCATTTTTAGCAGCCAATTAATGGGTTTTCTCTATCTTTCCTAATCCAACAGCAGTTTCTGTGGATAAACATCAGGGCACATACCACGAAAAGGCACACTCACAGAAGTGTGTTAGTGTCTGCATCAAAATTATTCCTAGTGATCAGCATGTGCAACACCCGGCTAGCATTGTACAATAATTTCCTGTTTCTTAAACAATTGCAATATTGTTTAATCATAGAGTTCACTATAGATAAGATAATTTTCAGCTCAGAAATAGCAGAAAGTGTAATAGCAAGTTAAATGAGACAAGGCATAACACTTGTTCATTCAGAAATCAGATTAAGGCAATCTGGCAGCAAATAAGAAATTAGGAGCAACTACAGTACAATTCTCAGTAATCATAATCTACCACATATTATGTATTTAAAGTGTTATTAAAAGTATTAAAGCTGGGTGGTGGTGGCCCATGCCTTTAATCTCAGCATTCAGGAGGCAGAGCCAGGTGGATCTCTGTGAATTCAAGGCCAGTCTGGTCTACAGAGCAAGTTCCAGGATAGCCAGGGCTACACAGAGAAACCCTGTCTCAAAAAAAAAAAAGGAAAGAAACAAAGAAAAAAAGTGTATATTAAACTTTATCCACAAGTGCTCATAAAAATACAAATACATTATTACAAACTTTATAGCTTTAAAGCAAAACAAATTACACGGAAAAAGTCTTTAATTAGAGAAAAGAATAAATACTTGGTTTAAATGCTTTACAGTGATAATTTGGTGTGTTTCCTTTCAATGATTTTTTTAAATGTACTCATTTACAAGCCAAAGTTAGCATTACCTATGAGAATTGCTACCAAGTTATAGAAAAAAATTATAAGTAAAGCATTAGAAGATTCTACTGAATCTAGGACCTCTGAAAACATCTCCTAGATGCACTCATAAGCAATAAAAGGAAGTATGAAATAGTTGTTAAGGTTTTGGAAAACAGTCATCATTGCCAATTGTTTTTCTGCATTTCCATATCTCATAGCTAATAAGTGTATGTCAACTTAGAGGAAATGTAAGTATGAAGTATCTTAAAGACAGTTGTAATTCCTATCAGGTCCAAAGTATAAACCTAATTTCTATTATGAAGTGTTATGATTGGTGGTGACACATTCAGATCATTTTTTTATTAGACTGATAAGCAGAAACCCCCTTCCAGGTGGAGTTTCAGACATTTTTAGGCTTTCAAATTGTTGTCCCACTTCCTCACTGCACTCCTATAAGAGAAATTTCCTAATTAGAGTATGTGGATCACAGTCACACCTGATGCTTCTCTTCATGGAGAGTGGGACTTGGCTCATTAGTTCTCACTTGGGCAGCAATGCTTCTCAAAGTTGGTCAAGACTTGTCTTTACATTTAGCCTTTCTGTTTCATGCATATATGTTAACTTGCAATATGAAGGTCAGATTTGACTAGTTAAGTCATTTTGCATATCTATCTAATTGATCTTTTTTGTCTGTAGGTTGTTTTTAAAGACATTCTGAGTATAATGGATGGAAGGAATCAGTCCATGGTATCAGAATTTGTGCTTTTGGGACTTTCCCATTCACAAGATCTTCAGGTCTTCCTCTTCATAATATTTCTGATGTTTTATCTGCTCATTGTGTCTGGAAATATTGTCATAATGGTCTTAATCGCTATTGACCGCAATCTCCATTCCCCAATGTATTTCTTTTTGGCCAACCTGTCCTTTGTTGATATGTGGCTTTCCTCAGTCTCCACTCCTAAGATGATTGCAGACTTTCTCAGAAAAAACAAGACTATTTCCTTTGCAGGCTGCATGTCCCAGGTCTTCTTTGCCCATTGCATTGGTGCAGGAGAGATGGTGCTGCTGGTGGTAATGGCTTATGACCGCTATGTGGCCATCTGCAAACCACTTCACTACTTCACCATTATGAACCTGAAAAGATGCACTGGGTTGGTGTTGACTTCCTGGACCATTGGTTTTGTGCATGCCCTGAGTCAGCTTGTGGCAGTGTTACAGGTGCCTCTCTGTGGTCCCATGGAAATTGATAGTTTCTTCTGTGACATACCACTGGTGATCAACATAGCCTGCATGGATTCCCATGATTTGGATACTTTAGTCAATGCTGACTGTGGAGTTGTGATTGTCACCTGCTTCGTTCTGTTGCTCATATCTTACACATATATCCTTTTCACTGTTCATCAGAGTTCTAATTCTGGTGCATCTAAGGCCCTGTCCACATGTACTGCCCACATCACAGTGGTGATGATCTTTTTTGTTCCCTGCATCTTTATCTATGTGTGGCCACTCAATATTACCTGGTTAGACAAATTTCTTGCTGTATTTTACTCTGTTTTTGCACCTCTTCTAAATCCAGCTATTTATACACTGAGAAATAAAGAAATGAGAAATTCTATGAAGAGATTAAAAAGTTATTTCATGAATAAAAAGGTAAATACATATACCCAGAAAAATTGCTATAAATACTTAAAATTTACATTTTGCTAAATGAGGAAAGGTTGAAATTTTGTTACAGTTATTTGTATGCACCTTAATTATAGTCTTTTGATATGTAACAGGCTCAGTATAATTCTGGAGATTGAACATTTTAATCATTTATAACATTTTAAATTATTTTTGAAAAATTTTTAAAATGACACTTATTTATGAGAAAACTACTGAAAAGGTTCTTAAATATCTACAGCAACATAAACAATAACCTAAATGTATTTGTCAAGCTCCTAAACAACATTTTTTGTAAAGTTCACTTAAATATTGCTCTAACAACATCAAAAAATAATAATCTGCCTTAACACTACCCACAAGCCTTTTACTCACCCTTTCTAACATGGCAGCATTATTATTTTTACTTTATTCCAGCTTTCTTCAAGATAATAAGAGGGAAATAGAAAAAAAAGGAACGAATAAAACAAAAGTTATAAACTGTACACTAAATAGCACTAGACGTTATTTAGTGTTGATTTCATTACCTTAATTAAAATGAAATAGTTATATAAACAAACTAATACTGATTTTTCTCAATGATCTGAGTTTCAAGAACTAAAATTTGTCCTTCAAATTATTGTTGGCTATTTCAACAAAATCATGAACTATAATCTTTCCGAGATAGTGGCCATGGCCTTGCTTCCTATTCTTTATATTTAAATATTTGGTATAGCTAATAATATATAATAAACAATTTTACAAAACTAAAATCCTGAGAGTTATTTCATCGCAATATTAATGTTTATTTGTGAATAAAAATTTAAGTATGACCATTGACATTTCAAATATTCTGAAAACTATAGTTTACCTAGTAATGTGCATCGTAAGATATAATACATCTCTTATTTCTCAAGAGATGGATTTAAATTCAGTGATAAGAACAATAACAGAAATAAGACTAAAAATATATATAGCTTTTATCTTATAATATAGGAAAAATACAACAAAATGATCATTAAATATGTTTATGATTGTTAGCTGTCTGTTCAGGTCTGCCTGTCATATTAGAAGTATTATTGCCACAAAGACATTTATTATTAACTCAAATGTTTTAGTAGCTGAAGACAATTTTGAAATATATATTAAATTCCTTCAGGTAACAGACTTGAGTTCTATAGTTAAAAGATGCAGAAAACAATTTTATTCTGACAGTGTTCATTTGTTAAATGTCATTGCACAATATGCGAAAATAATAATGATTTTCTAAGAAGAGTAATTCATGCTAAGTGAAATACCTGACTATCCCCCTTAAATTTAGATTATTTTTAATTATATAATGCCATAATTAACATTCTGTTTTTACAATACAGTGTGAATTGTGAACAATTCTGATATACATTCTGAACTGTAATTGTAGCACATGTTGGTACATAGATAACACTAAGCAACGGTCAGATGTGTATTCACTGCCTCAGTTATACTTATTATATCTATTGTTACTAATAAAAATAAGAACTTAACCTTTTTTATTCATTGTCAACTTCAGATACTTTTGTTCTCATCTAGCATGCTGAGTTATATCCTCAGAATATAACCTGAGTGAGGAATATTTTCTATTAAATTTTCTTTTTTAAATTAATTATTTGAGAATGTTCACATGTATGTGATGAAATATGATTGTATATAACCCCATTTCCTCCCTCAAAGTATTCCCAGATGCCAGTAAACATGATCCTCTCCCAAAAATCAAGTCATCTTCTTAAATGTAATTAGTGGTCCCATTAAGTGGAGAAGTATGCAGCCATCCAATGCAGCACTAACAACCCTCCCATGGGAAAACCTCCAAAGAAGAATGATTATCCCTCCTAAAGAGCTAACAATCAGTTAATAGCTCCTCAGTTAAAGTTGGTACCCCAAGAGCTCCTCCCACATCCATGCAAAACTTGGATCTGACTTGATCTTATGCAGGTCTTATGCAGGTAACCACAGATTCTGTGAATTCAATGAATATAATAACCATGTGCAGAAGACAGATTCCTCCAACTCTTATATTCTTTCCACCTCCTTTTCCAAAATGTTCCCTTAGTCTTGACTAAAGATGTTCCATTTAAGGGTGAGAATCCACATTCTCAGCACCATGGCCAATTATATATGTTTCTATTGATCCTGAACACTGAAAATAAAAAAATAAGCATCTCTGACAAAGTTTGCAAATAGCACAAATCTGTGGGGGTAAGCCTAAAAATTTAGAAATAAAAATAATAGATTCCTCCCTAGTTCCTATGACCCTCTAGATACTGACTTTTGGCTAGGTTTACAATACCAGGCATACATTCCCTACAGTGGAGCAGGTCTTAAATCCAATCAGAAAAGAGTTGGTTAGCCCATAATAGCCAAGCCACTCTTGTACCATCCTGCTTGGCAAGTCATGCTATATCATGTAAAGTCCAATGCTGTGTCAAACCCATAATGCCCTTTCTCTCCCAGTAGTCTGAATAAATAACCTCCTGCACTATGAAAGCTATCCAGCATGGAAAAAGTTTTCAGTGAACCTAGAATTAAAACTATCTTTTTCAAATGTAAAATAGGAATGTTTATGATACATTCAACACATACAGGAAATAATGTTTCATGAACTTCAGTCCTATTCATGATACCAACATTTAAAAAACCAAAATGGGGACCCCAGCCACTTCCTGAGACTTAGAGGCCGGCCCCCAGCTCCCATCCTGCCCTGGACTTCCCTTCTGGAGCACAGCCCCCAGCCTCTTCCTGAGACTTAGAGGCCAGCCCCCAGCTCCCATCTTGCCCCGGACTTCCCTTCTGGAGCACAGAGAGAGAGAGAGAGAGAGAGAGAGAGAGAGAGAGAGAGAGAGAGAGAGAGAGAAGAGCTCCCATCTTGCCCCAGACTTCCCTTCTGGACAAAAGCTCCCATCCTGCCCCTGAGTTCCCATTTGGACAAGAGAGCTCCCATCTGGACAAGAGAGAGAGACTTCCTGAATCTGTCAGCTCTGTCTTAACCAAGTGTGCGGATAAGGCCAAGAACAAACCACAAGGAGATGGGCACACGTCAAGGCAGAAACACATACAACAAAATGAGTAGCAATACAGCATCACCAGTGTTAGTTTTTCGGCTGCGTTGTGTTCTTACCCTGCAAGGAAATGCCACGATACACGACAGAATCCGCTAACAAGAGTTTTATTAAAGGTAAAGGGACAGAGAGTAAACAGGCCTGCAGGAAACACGTGTGTGGAGAAGAAGAAGGAACCAGGAACATGGCGCCAGATTTTAAAGGCTGGGCAAGGACAGATCAGCATCACTACTACACACAAGCGCGTAGATCACATGGCCACATTGCGCGCCTATGTGGCTAGTGGAACGTCACGGATCTTGGTCACGCGAGATGCCCTGACCCGGAAATGGCTATCCTGACTTGGACCTGGCTAGGCGGAAGTGTCTGCCAGGCATACGCAAACACGCATGACCATGGGGGCTTGTTGTAAACCTTTCATCCCTGACTCTTCCTTTTTTAAAAAAGAAAAAATTGTGGTTGACTGGGTATGGGGGCGATGTTTCTCTCAAAGACTGCTTCCAGCTGAATAGTGGGCATTGGTTGGCTCTTGGGGGGCAGGGGGATGAGAGGGTATCTTGTGAAGTCCTGGGATGATGGTGGGCAGGTCCTGGAATGAAGTTCTGCCGTCCCCTCGTTCTGCAGCTGTCCATCCATGCTGTAGCTGGGAACCTTCCGTGCTGTGGCTGGGAACCTTCTGTTTGACAAGATACTGTTGACATAGAAAAGGCTTAGAGAGAAAGAATCATTATTATTTTATTTTGGAGTTGGCATTTGTCTGAGGTAGATCTGGCCTGTCCAGATAGAGACATGTGATTTTTACCTGAGGTAGATCTGGCCTTAGTACTCTGCTTAATTTTTATCTGAGACAAGCCTTATTAGAGGTAGTTTATTTAAGGCATCTGTTTCCCTTATTAGGTTAGCATTTAGGAAACACAGGTGATCAGTTGCTGAGTATTGAACAATGATAGATTATTGTATTACATTATTCCTTACCGCCTGGATATTTTTGATGGTCCTTTTTGCCTCTGACTCTGACTTTTGCCTTTTTTCCTGGTTGGGAAATGAAGGGGTGATACCTTATTCCTCTGGAATTGGTGACAAGGCAGTGGATCCTGGTGTCCTCTGGAGCTTGAGAGTTAGAGGCCCTGTTTGTTTCACTGTATATGAAGAGAGATTTTTCTGGGATGGAGGTGAGATAAAAGGTTTTAGATGAGACAGGTGGACCCAGTGAGGAAAACCCTTGAGTTTAGCAGCCGTGGGGGTTACAAGAATGACCTTGAAGGGTCCCTGCCACTTAGGGGAAAGGGGTGAAGGGCGCTGGCCTGGAGGGAAGAGAAGAACCTGATCCCCAATGTGTATTGGAGGTGGACAATTATTGTCACACAGCTGAGGTAATGAACAGTCTGCGTAGCTCCATAGAATAGACCTTAGGTGACATAAAAGAGGAGTTAACAGGCTATCTGGAACAGTTGGAGGGTTGGATAAAAGATCTGGTGTTAGAACTGGCCTTCCATACATTAGATCAAACGGAGAGATTGAAAGAGGCTTTTTAGGAAGAGCCCTGAGCCTGAGGAAAGCTAGAGGCAATAATCTTACCCAGTCGAGATGAAGTTCCTGTGACATCTTAGTAAGAATAGTTTTTAAAGACCGGTTGGTACGCTCCACCTTTCCTGAGGATTGAGGGCGATATGGGATATGGAAATTCCAGGGAATATTTAACGCCTTAGCTAGTGTCTGAGAAATCTGAGAAGTGAATTCTGGGCCATTGTCAGACTGGAGAGAAGCAGGGACTCCGAACCGAGCAATAATTTCTCGGAGAAGGAGGTCTGCAACTGTCTGAGCCCACTTATTAGAAACCGGATATGCCTCCACCCAATTTGAAAATCAGTCCACCATCACAAGGAGATACTTAACTTTCCTGACGGTGGGCATATGGGTAAAATCGAGCTGCCAGTCAGTCCCTGGAAGGGAACCTCTAGCCTGGTGGGT